ACGGGGATTCGAACTCGCGACCATCAGATTGCGAGTCGAGCGCCTTATCCACCTGGGTATATATATATAAATTATCACTTTCTTCTGGTGTTTCACTAGATCTGTTGCTGTAAGTGTAAAGCTACATCATCCAGTAGTGATACAAAAATATATATAATGCTTTTTTGTATTTATCAGTAGGTATAGGTAAATTACTCAATAATAGTTAAGTTAGTAACATAACAATTCGTTTCCATATGCCTATTCTACAAACACGTACCAGAGTAGGTTCGTACCGGGGTAGTGCGAGCAGTGCGTTCGTACAGGGCGACAACTCGAGGGGGCGCTGATTGCTCGATTGACTAACAAAGCAAACTAATGGCTGCTTGCCTGTATTAAGGCAGCCCTTGCAGATGGGACGCACATTGCCTGTTAAATGTGTGCTTGCAAACAGTCAACTGTTCGGAAGTCACGCATGTGCAGTTTCAGATTATTTAGTGGTTGGTTATATTCAAAACTCAAACTGTGCTGAACGATAAAACAAATGTATGCACGATATTTTTGTTTTTTCCAAATTATGCTCTGTAATAATTATAATAGCTTATATAATGTATTATAAATATTTAGAATAATAAGATTCTTGTGGGGTTGAGGGACGCCGAATTTATATGTGTCACTGGGCACCACCAAACCTCAGTAGCAAAGAAAGGAAATGGCACAATGTATTCCACAAGTGCCTCTTAAAAAAACACGTCACGTGAAAAAACAACAACAAAATGTATATTACGTTTCGGCCTTAAGCCTAAATCAGGCACAAATGAATGGAGCTGAGGGTAAAAGAAGGCATTTGTCTGGCATTGTTTTTTTTTTTTACAAATTAATAAGGGATGTAAACATCTTCAGAAGATCACTATCCACCTTAAATACACCAAATAAAATGTATAGACAATATTTTTAGAACATGGGATTATGTTTGATTCTGAACACATTCGATCATAAAGGTATTTAACTTCAAACTCAGAAATATATAATTTATAACACTATGAGGTTTTTTGCATGTATATATTTTTATCATAACGCAAAAAAAAAGAATTCTTATTAGTGAAAGCTTGTTAAGCACTGCTATTTGTCTGCTAATTGTACAAGTATAAATATGTGCGCTTTTTACATCTATCATTGTTAGCTTAGAATTTGTATTTAGGACTAACCTAAATCGCCTAAGCTGCCCGAACCTCGTGAGAAAATGTTGAGTACATATCGTTAACAGAGAAGGTACTGACCTGATGAAACAATACATTCTAATCTCTCTACGTAGATACCAAGAAAAATATATTTAATTAACTATACTGATGGCTATGTTGATTTTTAGTTTCGCTCTAATTACATAGCTTAATCTTGTAGAAAGGTATTAATTATCTACCTTCTACTAAATGCGTCTTTATAAAAAATATGGACCTCTAATTAAAGAGGTTAAGTTACGTTCACGGAATACTTTTACTGTTTTTAATAATTAGGTTTGACGCCATGTTGGTTGTTGTGGGCAACACTTGGAAGAGTTCATTTGCTCTGGTTCCACTACTTAATTCCACATGTAAAAAATGCAATGCATTCTGTCTCACTAGCTAACATGAGGTGATCAAGTTTTTCGTATGTGTAAGTTCTCGAAGTCCCTGAGAATCAGAACGCGCGGAAAGTTTTGATAAAATTTTATTTTGCACTGTAAAGGTAACGTAATTAAACTGGGTCAGTCAGTAAATAAATAAATAAAACCTGTCTACAAAAGCCAAGGCAATCAACTTTGCTGTTCACATGCGCAGGATATAATCAACAATATATATATATATACAACTAAATTTACTTCTTAGAAAACTACGTTGTTTTTTTTGTTATAATAAAGCGAAAGTAATATAGTCTATAATTCCATCCAAAAACTTAGTGATTGAAGTTTATGTTTGTATGTTTCTAATGGCGGCCAGACATTTAAAAGCTTGCTGACATTGAGGCCATGCGACTGATCTATGATACTAACCCCATTATATTTTGTTCATAAATTGAGCTCGAGGTAAAAAGAGATCGGAACCAACGACGCAAAATCAAGGATAGATAAAAAAGTAAGAAATGCATAACTGGTTGTATTTTTGCAAAAGTTTATATCAGAAATACTCTTTAAACCAGGCGTATATTAACACAAGAAAAACAGGTTTTTAGCTTATTATGAATAATTTGTTCTTAAAGCAAATTCGAACTTTAGTGGTTTCAGCTTTATATTCTAAAGTCAAACTCCTTAGATTAAAAATTTAGTTAATTTGGTTTGTTTGTTTGTAATTAAGCACAGAGCTACACATTGGGCTATCTGTGCTCTGCTCACCATGGGTATAAAAACCCGGTTTCTAGCGTTGTAAGTCCGCAGACATATTGCTGTGCCATTGGGGGGCAAATTTAGTTAATGTCATATATGAACTTGCAACTCCATCCGATATGTCCAGTCCGATATATTTACTATTTGGGTGTAAGTTTTGACTCCGATATATTTCTGTTTTGTTTTTTTCAGACAACTTGTAGTACTTATGGAGTTGACCGTACCTAATGGTATGGTTTCAACTATCGTTTTTCCAGTAGTCACAGTTTCCAAAAATATATGATGGGCTTGGATCAGATGTGAAGGCAAATGAACAACTAGGGACAAATACATGTTAGGTTTTGAGAAGAGTAACTCAAGTGTTACCATAATACTTTAATTCCACTTGTTCTAAAGATTGTTAACAGGAATTTGAAAATATACTATTGTGTAATTCTAATATAAGGGTTTTAAGTAGGGTAAACAATTTTCGTGAAATGGGAATAAACTTTTTATATACTAGCTGAATTCGCGAATCTAGTTGCAAAAGGTTCTGTTGCCCAGAACCTATCTAGTGTATGAGGATGACGGTTTCCTACCGCCATTTTCAACAAATTTTTACACTTACAATACAGATGTTGAGTACATTCTTTTAAAATAGACAATGCCATCATGTCCAGTCATGCTCTATCTGATGGTGGCGCATCTTGACAGTAACCCTGCAGCATACTTTTAGTTGCAAAAGGTTCTGTTGCCCATAACCTATCTAGTGTATGAGGATGACGGTTTCCTACCGCCCTTTTCAACAAACGGATGGCACAAAAATCCATATGAACTGTATCTGACTACTTGACCAGTGTGTCTTTATATAGAATATCATGAATACCCATTTCATTTTCCAGGTACTTGAGGTATACAATTCTTGAGCTGGAGGCATGACTGGAAATCTTATCTTGGTGAACCCATACTTTGTTGGCCTTGCTTTCAGACAGATATCCTTCTTGATTATGTTGCATACTGTTGCCTGGGGCACGTGAGCGGCTTTGGCCACTGATCTTTGTGTTCGTAAATTCTCACCTTTTACAAGACACCGCGCTTTGTTTACCACGGCGGGTACGACTTGTTGCGGGTCTCTTTCTGGATAGTTCTGGTGTCATAAGTTCATCCACATTCGTTTGTTTTTCCAATGCCATTAGGTACAAGGATATGTCTGTCTTAGAATTTCTAAATACCCGATCTGAATACATCTTTATGATCTAAGTGTATGAATATTTTGCGTGAGAAAGAGCTGTTACATAATTTTCCCACAAACTATAAATTCTGGATGGCATTGCACTACCAACGACATCCCAACCAAAGTTAAAATGTAGTTCTGATAAATTCCATTTCGCCACAACTTTATATCCACTGTGGCTGTAACGCGACTAGTTGATTTTTAACGTGACGTGCTGACTTGTTTGTTTGTATTTTAAAACAACTTTGGGTATTTTGTAAATTAGAAGTTTTTCAGTTATGCTATAGAAGTATGCAATGAATATGAGAAACTAAAGGCTGCTACTTAGACTGTTGCTAGCTTTTGTAAAGAACCAGTATCTACAACACCTCTCGAAACATTTCCTGTTGTGGCTCCAACTGACACCCATCTACTCGTCGTGTGTGTGCTTGACAGTTTTATCTTTTGATGACATTCGTTTTGCGAAGGAATGAATGCACAGATACGGATAAATTTGAACAGGGCGGTGGAAGTTCTCCTACATCATATAATTTTGAAATATAAACTCGTGAAAACACACATTTAAAAAATAATGAATATTTTTCATATTTGAAAATTCTTGTTTCACTATTGTACCAATCAAAACACTTAGTTGAAAGAAAGGCAAGCGAGTGTAGGAAAATAAATTTATTGTACAAATCTTTGAGCTCTAAGATTAAGGTCCTTCAACGGTAAGCTTAAAGGCTTAACATGTTAAAATCAGGGTTCGATTCCTCGCAGTAAACACAGCACAGATAGACCGCTGTGTAGCTTTGCGCTTAACAATAAACAAACAAACAAATTAAAATTAATGAATATATATTAACACTGATGTTTCTGGAGTTAACTGTACTTCGGAGAAAAATATCCTAATAACAGTACATGTATTTTTCAATACAAGTAAATTAATGGAAGTTTATATCTTTAGGTTGAAAGTCAGAAGTCCGGACGGTTGTTGGATCACAATGCTTACGCCACGAAAAAAACTGTGGGCCAGGGAATGCTTGACATAGCTCTTCTGACCACTAATGTCTCACAGCTGAAATATTTGCTCCAAGTTGGGAAAAAACACGAGTTTTACTACCTGCTGATCACCTTGGTGAGCGTTTCAATCTTTCTTCAGGTAGGACTGCCAATTTCGTATTGTTAAAAGTAATAACAAAACTTTTGTTTGATATTATATAAATAATTTTTATTTTCAAATGCTTTTCTAACAAAAGAAATCGTGCACTAGCACGTGTATTGTTTTTTTTTTGGGGGGGGGCTTGTTTTGGAAATTCTCGCAAAGCTACACTAGGGTTATTTGTGTTATTCGTCCATAATTTAACAGTGATAGACTAGAAGAAAGGCAGCTAGTCAACACCACCCACCACCAACTCTTAGGCTACTTTTTTACCAACGAATATATCAGAAACAGATATGAGAACCTTTAAAAAGTGTTACATCATTAGACGACCATTTGTTCAGTTGATCACAGCAAAACAGTATATTGGGAATACCAAGGAAAAGAAACAGGTATAAAACACTAATTTTACTGTTGGTTACAGAGTTTCTAATTGGAGAGTGCCCTAGCACTCTATGTAGGGATGGCACGGACGCCAGTAAGAAAGCAATACAGAAATCATCTGGATTTTCTTCTCTACAGATCATCAGATGCTAGATATGAAGAGCTACCTGGCATAGTCGTTCTATCTACGGTGTATATGCCGCTTTTCAGCTATCTAGAGCGTCCAAAAGTCGAAAACCGGCGAATATCCAAAACTGAGATTTCACATTTTCGTTCATCATCATCTTTCTTCAACAAGCCTAGCGCATACCTAGTTCTAGCAGTAACTATAATTTTATCTTCATTTGATAGAGCAAAACAGTCTTAGCGACATTTGACTACCTTTGCCCTCTTCTTGTTTGGTTTCTTTTTCAAGGTCAGCAGCCAGACCTACATAGCTATTTTATTAGGCGATAATTTTTTTCTAATTTACACACACATAAATTAAACGAAAATACCATCAGTATTGCAATCAATAACTGATTTCACCCAAACTCTTTATACTGAATATTAGAACAAGCAAGAACATCAAATCATTTAATATGATACAATACACTGACCCCACAGGTAGGATACAGTAAAAAACTAAATCGACAATTTGAGGGTTAAAAGTGTGAAATTGTAAATAAAAATAAATTAGATTTTACAGGTTCTCAGTAACAGTAACTTTCATAACCTGCTGTTGCTTTTTTTGTGTTTAAGCGCAGAGCTACACGATGAGCTAATGGGCTGTTGATATTTGCCTATCACGGGTATCAAAACTCGGTTTTTAGAGTATAAGCCCTCAAACTTACCGTTGATAAAAAAAAAAAACGTTTAGTTTAGATTGCTGACGTTGCCGCCGCCCCCTAGTGGCAAAGTGGTATGTCTGCGGACTTATACCGCTAGAAACCGGCTTTCGATATTCGTGGTGGACAGAGCACAGATAGCCCATTGTGTAGCTTTGTGCTTAATTAAAAACAAACTTAAACTTGTCGTTTTCCGAACTGAAATTTTCCAAACATTTCAACAAACTTTGTATTATATCCCCGTTCCATCAAACATGCTCGCCCTTTTAGCCGTGGGGGCGTTATAATGTGACGGTTAATCCCACTATTCGTTGGAAAAAGAGTAACCCCAGAGTTGGCGATGGGTGGTGGTGACTAGCTGCCTTCCCTCTAGTCTTACACTGCTATATTAGGGACGGCTAGCGCTGTTAACCCTCGTGTAGTTTTGCGCAAAATTCAAATCAAACCAAAACTGTATTAAACAGAAAATATTTTGCGTTTAATTCGTACAAATACTTTTTTATTTAATTTTCTCAAGACATCATGAACATAAACAGCCTATAATCTCGTAAAACAAAGAAAACGTTTTAATCAAGTTATGTACGCTTTCTTTTGGTTTTACTTAAGTCGTTAACTCGTGTTTGTTATTAATCATCAAATATACATACTCAGTAACCAGCTGTACGAAAGCACATAGCATTAATGAATTCACATAATTCTAGTAATTCTCTATAGAGTAACTTTGTTTACAGACCAAGACATGATTAGACAACATATACGTGATAGAACTCGTTCTTTAAATTAATTATTAGTGAACTAATTAGTGCGTGACATTAACTATAGCACATTATCTTGTGACGGAGCGGTTTGCTGTGGAAAACACATCAAAATAACTGTGTTAAATTTTATGTATTTAATTACCAAGAAATATGGCAAAAACAAACGAAACAGAAGCATCGAACACACAGGACAGAAAACTAAAACTTGGGTATAAACTGCATAGTGGGAATGGTAAAATTAATGTTGTTGATAGAGGTATATGTAATCGTTGGACCCGCACAATGTTAGGGAATACATTGAATCAAATTTATTCTCTTTTGGCAAGCCTCACGTGTGAAATTAATCTAAAACTAATAAACAGAATTTACAAATTAAAAGCAGATCTAAAAATACCATTCACTGTATACAAACAGTTATGGAAGTTAGTTGATTCTAATGAAACAGAAAGATAATGAAAAAATTTGAAATGAAAGAATAAATAATGGTTACCAGTGGTCATAAGTAAATACTTTCTTCTGAAACTAGCAATCTAGCGCCCTTATAAACAACACAATGAAACTTCAGATGTTGGGGTCAATAAAAACTACTAGTAAAATAAAAAGAGGCAGGAGGTTGGAAGATATGTCTATTTCACGGTTATTTACATATGTTTACAGTATGAACGGTTATTTACATATGTTTACAGTATGGATTTTTTACATATGTTTACAGTATGGACGTTTATTTACATATGTTTACAGTATGGATTTTTTACATATGTTTACAGTATGGACGGTTATTTACATATGTTTACAGTATGGATTTTTTACATATGTTTACAGTATGGATTTTTTACATATGTTTGCAGAATGGATTTTTTACATATGTTTAAAGTATGGATTTTTTACATATGTTTACAGTATGGATTTTTTACATATGTTTACAGTATGGACGGTTATTTACATATGTTTACAGTATGGATTTTTTACATATGTTTACAGTATGGATGGTTATTTACATATGTTTACAGTATGGATTTTTTACATATGTTTACAGTATGGATTTTTTACATATGTTTACAGTATGGATTTTTTTTACAGATTTATTCATAGCATGTCCTACTGCTCTCAAAGCTTAATAAGTCTAATAATCTATTCTGCAGTTTGTGAGACATGAGTATCCTGGTTAGAATTGATACATGCCGCTAGGGACCTCAGATACATCTACAGATATCTTCAAGGCGTACATACGGCTTACGAAATCTACATTTTGTCTTTGTCCTAGTGTTAATGTTTACGAAGAGTTTTTTTTAAAGTGTTACTTTTAACGTCTCCGTTTCTGTTGATGCATTATATTACTTTCCCTGTATTTGTTATGATTGAAAATTCTCTCTCCCTCTATATATATTGAAAGAGTAAGATAACACTCAGTAACTTTGTAGCTTATCTACACGGTCGTTTGAACGCAGAAAAGTACGTAAAGTAGTTTAAAATGGCTAAAAATGCGAACAGTTAGTTCAAGCAGTGTATAATGTGTCACGCTTTTCACCTGTTTATTTACATTTTTGTTTGTTAGGTATGTTACGTCTTTTTAAATGTATATTCATTTGTTGTTGTTTTTTCGTATTGTGTGTATTGCAATTTTTACCTATTCACGTGCATATACCATAAAGTGTGTTACGCATTTTTAACTCTTTATTCAAGTTATTAACTGTAAAGTGTGTGACGTTTTCTAAACTATTTATTCTTCTTTTGAACCGTTTTAAGCTAAGTTGTCTTTCCTAGTGTGATTCCCCATTCGTTAAACCGAACGCAGGAAATGTAGATAAAATGGGCAAAATATCCAAAAACCGATAAAGCAAAGCAGCGAATCATATCGAACCATTACTGAAATTAAAAGTTCGTCTTTTACAGACATTAGTACCAGTATTAAGCACAGTTTACACACATCGTTCTCTCAATTAAAATAACCGAAACTAGCTTGAGGTCATTTATCGTGGTTTCTAATGTTATTTTTCAAACGTTTAATGTTATATTTAAATGTTTCTATAACTTGTACACCAATAGAAAAAAAAAAAAAAAAGTTACAGAAGACAATTTCTGCTATTAGTTGATTATAAAAGTAAATTATTTTCCTACATTTCCCCCGCTAGGACAGCGGTAAGCCTTCCGATTTACACTGCTAAAATCAGCGGTTCGATTCTCCTCGGATGTGGCTTTGCTATAAAAAGAACACACACATTTTCAGTGGTGATTAATGATTTTTTCATATTGTCTCCACAATCCTAGTTAATTTCCCAGTTCTGAAATTACACGCCACCTATAAGTAAACGGAGGAGGGGTAATAGTATTTACGTGAAATATAATTTTTTTTTTGTATGAATAATTCACAAGTTAATGGAAAATTATAATTCGGCAATAAATGTTGTTGTTGTTTTTCTATTTCAGATCTTTGTTGGAGCTTTGTTCATAATTATAGCCCGAATGAACGTCAATGAAGAAAAGAGCCAAGGAAAGGCAAATATTTTAAACAATATTATAACAGGAGCTGTGAGCGTTATTACAGCGATTAACATCGTTAGTTCAGCTTTCAACATGAAGAGTACGGATGACGATGTTGAGCCTTGAGTTGTTTAACCAGAATAAGACGAAGAATGTTGACATCTAGCAAAGAGAGAAAGGAAAATGAACGATCTTTCTCGCTCTATTGGATCACCAAACTAGTGATCGTGTCGCCATCTATTGAACATTTTAAGATATTAGCATTGTACTTTGATTTTTGCACTACACACTAAAGAATTCACATAGCACCATGAAGTTTCCAAGCACATAAGAATATCAGCGGACACACACAAACACACACATAAAACTTGGGATGCCCTCTGCCTTTGTGTGGGGAAGGTGTGATGTGAAATTTGTCATATTACAATCCCAGTATTGTGTGGCCCTCTGACGTTTTTTTCCTTGCTGTGATTAATAGTTATATGTATGAAACATTGACAAGATTCATAGGCTCGATCTAGAGATTAGTTTTATTTGAGGTACTCCAAGGTTTACTTTTATAAACTGCTGTCAGCTAACTTTACTTACTTGAAGTTGTTCAAACGTCATAAAGTACTCGTGTACTTCCCACAAACGGCATGAAGTGCGAGTGTACTTCCCACGAACGGCATCGAGTTTGGTTTCGTCAAATTCCTTTGGATCTGAGGGGTTTGAAGACAAGTGGACCAAACCTTTAGCATCTTTCTTCTAAAAAAAACCCATCAAAATATGAATTACTCTTGCAGTCAATTATCTCTTATTACTGTCATGGTAAAATTAAGTGGTATCAAACAGTGCTGCTGTTTATCATCTGAATCTTTGGTATTTGGAGGCGATGGAAAAACATAAAGATGTCACGATAGTCGTTCATGTAGAGAAAACATCATTCAACATCTTTCTGGTGAATACACTTTTTTTTGAAAGGTTTATGTTATTCTATTTACTAAGAAACTTACGCACGTCTATTTAATGGACATTCTTGGTTAGATATCAAGGTCACGGACAGAGATCTAGTGGTACTCTAAGAAATACCCTAATAAAGTTTTGGAACTTATCAGCTGTGAAAATGGAACTCCAAAAAAGTGAAATAAACCAGAAAGTATCAATGGACTACAAGGTACAACACATTGACTAGAAAGTATCAATGGACTACAAGGTACAACACATTGACTACACAAGGTTGATTTAAGCAATTTTAAGGTAACGTTTTGAAATTATTTTTTTATATTGTTTACACCAAAAGGTACTAGACACGGTGGTTTATAAGATATGGAGTTTCATAAACTGGGTAGAATCTTGTGGGGGTGGGTGGGGTGATTGCCCCTATTTTTGGCAGAGTGAACATTAAGATCCCTTGAAATACAACCTTCCACACAGAATATCGATACACGTATTTCATTTCATTTCGTATAGTATTTTATTTTAAAGGTATCGGCGAAATTCTGTGCATAAAATGTCCTACATGTATATGGTTGCACAATACTATTAATGTTAAACAACTGAGTATTCTTTATTATTTTCGTACATTCGATGCACTGACTGCTTCATTATTTGTAAGTATATCTTCCTTGATTTGCTTTTTGCCCCACATTTCCTTGAAATTCCTTCCTTACGTTATTCCGTTTTCATCACTGATCTGTTTCATCATAGCATATCTGGGTTTAAGTCTTTTAACTGCCTTTGATCATCCAGTAAAGTTATTCTGCTTCTTTGTAATATATTTTGAAAATTTGTGCAAATTATTTTTTTGACTTAAGAGATTTTCTTATATATATATGTTACTTTCATTAGCTTAGAAACTTAATTAGTACACAGGATAAATCCGGTAAGATATAGCTTCACTTGCTAAATTGGTAGGACATCTTGGAGGATTTCAGCCAAAGGTCTTTCAAATGTTAGATGAGCTTTCATCCACATGTCTCTATTGTAAAAAGTACGAAGTCATTCTGAAAGTTACTCAATGTTTGATGAGTATAACTTATGTATTCAGTATGGTACCAGTATAAAATGATCAGTAGTAGTCAGAAAAGAAATGTACATTAAATTTTCAACTCATGAATGTATAAAACTAACGAAATTACTATTTTTTTATGAAACAAGAATATTTCTAACGTACATGTTCATAAAGCTTTAATTTCAACTCATTATAGAAAGAAAAATTATTTTTAAGATCTTCAGTTTACCGAAGGCCTTCAAAAAGAATCACCACAGTTAATGAAAATACCGACTGATAACTCTTTTGTAGCTTTGCACGAAATTCAACAAATGAAATAAACATAAAAGTGCTGATCAGATTGTCAAATGAAACTTGTTTTTCTTCCAGTTTAGGTTTCACCTTGGTTACTGTCGGGTAGAATTTTCAGCGCTCGGCTAGTGAAAATAGGGGTTTTCTCGTGGTATTCCCTTTTTCCCCCACAGCTTATCTGTATGCATTGAATCTACTGATTCCCACCACAAACTCTTTGGTATTGTATCTAACGGTCCCAATATTTTTTTTCGCGAAGTACTCCCTGTGTACCTTTTATATCACGAGCAGGGGAAACGAAAATTATTTAATTTCCGAGCACTTCTGTGCTACAATCACAAATCCCTGCCACTACTACTACTATTAATGATATTTTTCACCACTAGATGGTAGCATTCTCCCGTGTAAAACAATTCCTCTGGAGCACATGCAACAGCGATTAAGACGAATGTTTTATTTTGAGAACGAATAACGACTAATAATCAATGAATAAAAATAACTTAAAATTAAGAAATTTGCACATTTATCAATCAAGGTAATTTCAAATATGTTAGTATGTTTTATAAATAATAACGATTAAATATGTCTTCAATAGAATGTAATTTTGTTCTTTCTGGATTTTCTTACAGTTTCGAGCGAAATAGCAATCGTATAATAAATTATTATGTATTAAATGCTACAAAAAGTAATAATCCCAGACAGTATAATTGTAATCAGAGCTGTAACGCTTTAAGGATAAGAATAATTACGACTTATGCCGTATCTGTTTCTGATGATATGAAAGGGACTGATTATACATTGTCTACCATAGTTTCTTGAAACTTAAACTTTCCATGTTGGGAATTAGTCGTCATTTGTCATTACTAAGTTTGTTGGTTTGTTTGGAATTAAGCACAAAGCTACACAATGGGCTATCTGTGCTCTGCCCACCACGGGTTATTACTAAGATTTTATGATACTTAAAAAGAATCGGGAAATATTTCAAGAAAATAAAGTCATAATTCTTTTAAATCTGGTTTGGATTATGATTAGAAATATACTAAAATTCTTGAAATTTTTGTTAAAGCCAGGCTCGCTTGGATTATCTTAATTTTAAACCTTTGATCATTGGTTAATAAGTGTTAAAAATAAATACTGTCTCATTTTTAATTTGGTTTGCTAAGTAATACTTTTGGTAAGAATTCGAGGCATACTTTAATATTACGACATTGACTTGAGGCATCTTCTAACATTTGGCACACTACTGATATTTTAAAACTGAATATCTTGAAACAAGATACAGCGATTCAGTAATATTTGTCTTTATATTTTTTGCATCACACGTAGTGTTTGCAAAGGTTCCTGTGGTATCAGAAGTATCGCGACATTTCATTTTATAAGCAATTTTATGGTATCCAGTGATATTTAATGAAATAATTGTTTGTGTTATTGCCAATATCTAAAACGCAATAATTATAGCATTTTGGCACTTGTGTATAAAGTTAAAATCATAAATAATATTCAACGTTAAACTGGAACACAATTAGAAACATTTTATTTATGGCCTATCTATGGCCTACAAAAAGTTGACGACTCTTCATGTTTCGACTTTACAACGTCATCCTGTAACGTCGA